AGTAACTCAAGTGCCTTTCTCAAAAAAGATCTGGGATCAGTAGTTACAAGAATTTATGGAAAATCACAGTCCACAGTCTCCCCACATATTGTTGCGCTTTCAAAATGGCAATGTAGGGCATCTATATTTCAGCAATCAAAGCTGTCAGGGTAGAATATCTGTGCAGATGCTTCTCAGTTGGAAAGACTAGATTGCTTCTCAGATGAAACATATGCCAACAATCCCGCTGAGACATCCTACCTTAATCTCCTGTAAGCTAGTATAAACTTTTGGACAGTGTTTTTGTAAATGGATTGAAATATTATATAAATACCCATGATCTCAGATTGAAATTGGTAAGGACCTTTCTCCTCTCTCACCAGAACTGTTTGCTTTGATGATGGAACCCATTGCCATGGAATAGCAGAAATCCACTACTATCATGAGCCTGCGAGTGGGCTATCTGGAGGAAAAATTGGCATTGTATGTGGATGACGTAAATATGTTTTTTTACAGTATCTGGGCCTGTACCTCCAGGCTGCCCTCCAAATTTTAAACACTCCCCAAAACCCACATTATACCAATTAACCTCAATGCTGAGTCCCTAATCTTACCTTGACAAGGACAAGTACATAGGCATCTTAATATGACCGGTAGTGCTTGATAACTGTCAGTTAAGCCTTGTCTTCTTAATTTCAACCACAAAACTAAGCTTAAAGCATGGGAAAACCTGCCCCTTCATTGCAAGCAATGAAAATATTCTAGCCAAATACTGTAGGTATTAAGACATTCACCAATTTGGATGATTACCTGCCTAAATACTTCAAAAAGTTAAACTCCCTAATTGAATCTTTCTTATGGGGACCAGTCCGCCCTCCACTCCGATTCCAAAGTAAAACACAACAATTAAAATAGTTGCAGGGAGGCCTAGCATGTCATGTCCTCCATAAATATTTTACTGTAGCACTGTTAACCAATACTCACAATTGGCTGATATCTAACAAAAATAATGCAGCTGTCGTAGCAGAGGTTGTCTACTTGAGGTCATTTGAGGGTTTAGGGCACCTACTTTAAAAGGGGAATGAAATCCCTGTGCCAACTTGCCCAGAAAATGAATGCCACACTTAGGACTTGGAAGCTTGCATTACACTGTTACCAACCACACAGAGCAATAGTTCCCCAACATTTCCACCAAGCTAAACTTCCAGCAGATGCGGATCTTGCCTTGTGAGCAACCAAAGGTATTAAATATCATGGCCACATACTAAAGATAACCTCTTTCACTTGCTTTGATAAGCTGAGAGAACACTAGACTTTCAAATTCTTACCTGTTTTGACACTTAGAACTCTGACATGCCTACCAGGCACAATTTGGCTCCACACCGCTGGATCTCACACTCACCGCCAACTAATCCATCCTGAGAAACCAACCAACCTCTTTCCTAACATCTACTAATGCTTGCTGCGCACAAATCACGTAGACTTGAACAAATGCACATCATGGTGGCAAGCTGATTTATTCTCTTCGGATGATGTTGACTAGGAAGATAGGCCGAGCTATCCCTTTTACTTATCCTAACCGGTGAGAGACTCATACAGCTACTACCAACTGTGCTAGAACTCTCTCGAGCCGTCTTCTCTTCTATGGCCACAAAACTATAGTACTTCACTGGAAGTGCCCCTGACATTGAGCTTTTGGAAAACCCTGCTCAACACCTTTGCTCCATACAGGGCCATCTATGAATCCTACATAATTTGATTGGAGTATGGGATGCATGGCTTACTTTCAAATCAGTCAGTTCACTCTTGATGTAAATAACAACCCCAGTACAGTGACACATTATAGTGCAGTGTACAGTACATTACGTCATCTCTTGAAGCAGGATGGCTCTTCTCAATTGCCTCATACTACTAAGATGTAAAAATATCTTGTATAATCTCCACTATGTACAATTAACCGGGTGGGTTGTCTAAGATATTTAAATATAATAAAGGTACAATAATAATGAATACCTGCAGTAGTAGTAGTATGAAATAGCTACTAGCTACATAATGGTTTGTTATCAATACTTTCTGATATCAAGTCCCACTCTTTTCTATTTGAAAGATCTGTGAGGAGTTGAGTGTAGAAAACTGTTGTTATTGTAACTTTTTCTGTATTATGTGGGCCCACCATATGCCCCTAAAATTCTGTTATTCAATTTTTAAATTAAATTACAATTTAATTTATAAAAAAGGGCTCCATGTTTATAGCACAATGCTATAATCCTCCCAACCAGTTTCAGCACCCCAGGATCAAAGAGCTAGTTGGGACCCAATCTGCAACCTTACTGCTTGCAAGTAGTCTAGGGGGCTCCAAATATCGCTTCTGTACTTGTGAAGGCTTTTAATTTGTGGCATTAGCCTCTAAAGCAAGGACAAATGTGCAGGCTGGGTATTAGGAAAATTGAGAGTTTTCCTTTCCTAATTATTGACTTGCAATTTCACAATCTTTTCCAAATACATTGGAATCAGTGGGAAAAGCAATGTTAAGGTGGTTTTAGTGGGTTGTGCCACAATCAGTCCCATGTTAGCCTCATTATTTTAATGAGGCTAACCTTTAAAAGGTGCTATTTGTCATTTGTTGTCACAAGATTATATTATAGATTTTTAAGCAGATTTTACCACAGCGGCTCATTAAACCGTAATGATCAGCTCAACTCATTTTCTCCACAATGACTTTAATGCAGTCAGTGTTTCTAATGCATTCACTTTCTCAAAATTCAGCTGTGACTCAAAGCTTGTGAATAACTTCTGGTGATAGCTCTTAAAATGGGGTTTGATCAACACCTTGGTCATAGTAATAATTAGCAACAGTATTGTTTATCAAACCTGCACAACATTTTACTTTCCCATGTTTATTGACCAAACGGTTTAAGGCATCTTTCTTTACAATCCTCATATTTAGCAACTGGTAGATCTTCCTTTATCAGTAGTTACCTCAACATATTCTATAACTGCAGTTCAGACTTAGGGAAATATTTTGGCCCATTCTCATACCAAAAAAAATCCTCAGTTTGTATATATCTTTTAATAAACTGCTTCGGGTCATACAACAGCATTTCAATGAAACTGAGGTCAGGATTCTGACCTTGTCATTCCAATACACAGAATTAATTCTGAGTGAGCCACTATCATTTTGATTTACTCTTGTTTTTGTAGATTGTTCTCATGCTGCATGACCCAAAGTGTTATTATGTTTAGATCACAGACCCCCAGATGCTCTGTTGCAAAATTTCCAGTACTACTTGGAATTCATTGGTCACATGCTTTTATGCAGCTGGATAGCACCACCAAGCTTCACAGTTGATCTCTGATTGTATTGCTTAATATGCAGGGATATGTTTTCTCTGAACATAATACTGAATTAATTTACCAACACTGTCAAACTGCTTCTTATCTGTGTCTCATTTCTAATGTTGTAAACTATCCTCCACACTATGGATGATGGAGGGACATATCTTTGGAAGTCCTTTTTGCAACACATTGCAGTTTTATAATTGTTAGTCAAACCAGTGTAAAGCTGTACATATCAGTAATTATACTGATGCAGTGGTTTTGCATCTGCTCATCTGGCAAGGTTTACTACCACCTTTTAAATTTAATTTTCTTTAAGTATGTTTGAAATCAAAAAGGATTGAATGAAACTAAATTGAAACTCCAAGTATAAGGACTGGTATCCCTATGGCTAGTTTTAATCAGAACACCTAATTGGAATACATGACTCTTTTCACGTTATCACTATGCTAAATGTTCACAGGCTTTTTTTTCTTCATTTTCAGCGATGTTGTGTGAAGCATTTGCTCTTTAACTATATGGCAGTGCAAAACTTGTGTTTGCTCATTAAATAACACTGTCTTCATTTATTATATTATCATTAATAATTATGTACTGACTGACTTTTTTCTCACAACTGTACATGAGCCATGTTGTCCTTGGATAAAGTTTAATAATAATAATATCATAGCAGTAATTGTTCATGGATGCAAAGGAAAGGTGCAGTAGTGGTGGAGAAAAGGGCATTTTTCTAAAGGCCAACCAGTATTCTAAATATATATATACTTTGCCTCTGAAGGTTAGATTACTGCAGCCTAAACACAGTTGCAATAACCACGGAAATAAAAACTGTGGAGTTAATGTACTAAAGGAATATATACAGTTTTACTTACTAAAGTGAATGTTTACAGAGCTTAGTAAATAAGATAAAGATGTGTTCACTTCCCTTGCACATGATTAAAGGAGAGCTATGAGGTGAGTGATTTCCCCTCATACTCATAGTTAGAGCCGACCTGTGACAAAGAAGCTGTCGCAGGTCGGCTGTATTGATCGGGATGTGAACAGAAACATGCTCGATCTGCTCACTTCTCGGTCATCTCCCTGCAGTGGGGACGTGATTGTCAGTCGCGGCTCCCTGCAGGAATTACCCCTTTTCCCCCCCGATCCTCCAGCACTGACTGGAGGAATGGACGGGGAGGGGGTGAGCACAGCTGGATCTGCCTCTAGATAGGCAGAGCCAGCTGTCACTCACGCAGCTGGGTGGATCTCGACAGTAATGTCGGGATCCGTCCCGGCTGCGGCGCTCACAGTATTGCCCGCGATACACTGAGCTTTGGGTGACGGGAGGACGCTAGTATATGTCCTCCCGTGACCCTAAAGAGAACTATGGGAAAAAACACTTACCCCATTGTTCTCTTTTAAGTATTGAAAGTAAATACAGGTTCTACTCTTTTAAGTAAATGAACCCCAATATGGTCCCCAAATATGGTCCCAAAACGTTAGGTAATTAAAAACAATAGTGTGCTGTACAAGTCCTCATTTAATAGAGGGTCTGTGTTACCCTATAACACCTAATCTCCTAAGTCATTATTTTGGAAACTGTAATAAATAGTGAACAATTAAAGTAATCCAAAAATAATAAAACATATATGCTAATTCTTTTCTTTTGGTTGAGAATACAATTCGTAAACGTTACCTTTTTACAGGATGCAATGAAAATGAAACAGATTTGGACAGAGACCAGTCATACCCTTCATCTCAAAAGACGAAGCGTATGCGTACCTCTTTTAAACATCACCAGCTCCGCACCATGAAGTCATACTTTGCCATAAACCACAATCCAGATGCAAAGGACCTGAAGCAACTGGCTCAGAAAACAGGATTAACCAAAAGGGTTCTACAGGTGAGGAATTTTTTTGTCCTTTCAAAAATACCAGAGATATAACCCCTTTGTTTTATTCAGAACCAATTATAAGATTTATATATGTTTCTCTTTTTTATGTTGACATTTCCCAACTGAATAGGTTCAGACTAATGTTCCTCTGTTGACTACTTCAGCAAGGAAAAGTCAATATATATAACATTTACAATGGTAGGTAATTGGAGCAGTCACAGTAAATATAATTTTAAACAGATGTAGGAAAGTAACTTTACTTAGTTGATTTTATAAATACCATCTAAAGTTGCATTACAAAGAACTGATTATAAAGACTGTCCCTTGCATAAAAACTACACAAGATTCACAGTGCAAATGGCCTAAATATAACAAGTCCAATAGAATAACAATGGCTATGAATCTGAACCACTTTGGACTTGGCAGTGTACTGGAAATAGGTACAGAATATTTAAAAACGATAGTGAAATTTGTTATTTTATTAAATACAACATTTATTTTGAAATACTCCAGTCCGATCAAGATCATACACTTGTAAAAAATTCTTGCACATGTAAAAGCCTTTCACTAGCATGAAACATTGTTTTATCATTTGTAAAGAAATAGAGGATACATGTGCCTCATAAAAAAAAGCATTAATATTTATACGATTAAATGATTTTCAACCAATCAATTCAGAAGTAACTATAACTTTCACTGTATAGCACTTGTAGCAATGTCATAGACTCCTAGTAAATTGATATGCTTTTTTCTGAACTACCAGTCCCATAAACAAAAAGGCTGCACTCACCAAGTACAGGTGATGAATAGCCGTTAAATCAATCTATGTCACACTGCAGGGTTTTCATGCATTATATAGCCCTTTAATTGGATGACTGACTCAAGTGGTGTAAAGGCAAATTAATTTTGAGCCTATATATTAATTAACTAAGCTTTTGTTATTAGATAACTCCACTCATTGAAGATCAACTGATAGTCTAGTTGGAAGCACGATCACTAATTTTTAGCCAGTTTCATATACATCTTAGAATGGTAGCCCATCAGTAATTACAACTCAAAGAAATGTAGTTATACCTTAAATGGAACATTCATTTGTCTAAATGTTATAGTGTTAGGAAATAGAGTAGGATATGTTGACTGTCTGAGTGTGATTATTGGATGCAGTAGTTATTCCTGAAATTTTTTTGTAAAGTAAAAGTCTTTGAATAAGTAGGTAAAAAAACACCCAGTAAAAATCTGGGAACGAAAGAAATAATCGGTAAAAGGAATGCCCTGGAATTGGTTTGCAGGTTTGGTTTCAAAACGCACGGGCGAAATTCAGAAGGAATCTTTTACGACAGGAGAATGGGGGAGGCGATAAGGTTGAAGGTCCCTCTCTCAGCGCTCCAGCATCAACGGACAGTGCTGCACTAACACCAACCGGTGCTGCATCCACATTATCAGACCTCACCAGCCCCTCCCTCAATGTTGGGGCCTCTGTAACTCCAAACATGGACAGTCATGAGTCTGGAAGCCCTTCTCAAACCACCCTCACCAATCTTTTTTAACATTTATTATGACTCTCTCTTGCTGTCTTTTCCCCTTGCAATACTGTGCATTTTTATTCCCTTTTTAAGATATACCTTCAGCACATTTTAGAAGAAGATGGATGAACACGACAGCCACCAAGTAAATTAGTTATATGTTAAAAACCTATGCTCTGTGCTATTCTTTGTTGCCTAGAAACTTCTTAATCCACACCTGTTCACATGGATGGATGTTGTATAGGGAGGAGGAAAGAGATGTGCAGAAAAAAGGCAAACCTCCATATTTAATGGTATGCTTGGTTGTTCATTGTTTTATATAATATATATATCATTCTTTACTCAGTGCTGGAAAGGTTTGTAGGGATGTTTTCCTACTCAGAAAAAAACCATGAGCTCCAACCTTTATCCATTGCATTACCTTTTTTTTATTCTCACTGTGATCTTTAAAGGTATATCTCCAAATTATTATATTACTCTCATTGCCCATTTATTGTAACCACCACCAGATTTTTTTTATCTCATGGTTTTATTAGCTTGAATCAGTCTAATTAAAATGTTTGACCACTTTTGCAGTGAAACTGGGATAACACCCATTATAGATTTGTTGTATGTTCCCATTCACATAGCATAACTTAATTTTTTTTTTTTTTTAAATGGATGCTTACCTCTTTACTTACTTAAAAATCTTACTTAGCATTTTTCCATCTAAATACTGTTAAGGAGGGGGCTCGGGAGTTATATTTACAAAAATTAACCCTGTGTGTACTGTGCTGGCAGATTTTCATTTTCAGTTGGAAACTAATGCACATTGTGTATCCTAACAAAAATTTAAATACCTCAATTTAACCCACTAAACAGTAGAAACTGTCTATAAAGCCCAATGCGCAAACGTGCTCCAAAGAAAGAACTACAAAGGTAAGAAATATGTGTTTAAAATTTTTTAGGTATGCTGTATGAATGGGAACAGATAACAAACATATAGTGGGGTCTACTCAAATTTGACTGCAAAGGAGGAAATACATTTTAAGAAAATCCAGTATTAATCAACCATATCTTGTTTTCAGTGTCTGAAAACATAGTTTTAATCCCAGCTGATGTCATTAGAATACACTGCCTCCAGTAAATATATATGCCTTTTCTCTCTCTCCTCTCTGTGACGCTTAAGCTAGCCATACACCTTACAATTATCTGCAGATTTTCTATGGTCAGATGGAAAAGATGCAACAGATTCCTCCATCTACACTTAACTGTGTGGATGGAGTAATCTGCACCTGGGCCAATCTGTTGCACTTTTTCCATCTGACCACAGAAAATCTGCAGATAATTGTAAGGTGTATGGGCACCTTTAGACTTGCCAAGTTAGGGTTCCAGTATCCACACATGTGCAGAATAGCCATATTCTTCATATGCTCTTGTGCCCTATTGGCATGGATAGACTGAAAAGTTAGGAAATACAATTTGTTACAGGTGTTCATTTTATTTTTCAGTGACAACCAATAAAACTGAGGTAAGATTCAAATGTATACATCCTTGTAAGTGCCTCTAAGAAATTATATGTTACTTATTTCCATAACCTTGAAAAATAAAGTTGCATAAAAACAAATGCTGATCTCACAAGAGAAAATATATATTTTTTTATTTTCTTTTGACAAACATACATGATTTAGTTATTATTTTAATTTATCATTTTAGTTTGGGTAGATGCCAATGGGATGAATAACCCACCGACTGCTTTTATGGATTCTAGTAGGAGCATTGCCACAACTGTTTTTCGAGCTGCTCCACCTCCAAAATGACCACAGCCTAAAACCAACTATATCTGTACCATAAAATCAAAATTCCAATAGAGAGTAAGAGCTGTTGTCTGTAGGTAGACAACGGGGTTGATTTAATATAGGAGTATTGCTTGATCACTTAGCAAAGGGAATTTTCACTTCACTTAGTGAATGAGGTGAAACTGTGTTGACATTAATCATCCAATTGCGTGCAAGCAAACGTTTTTTAAAATGTTTTCTTTGCATATGATGGATATTTTTTGCAAAGCTAAAAGTAAATTCCCTTATAAAGTTAAATTCACTTTTCAAAAGTGAACATGCCCTACTCCATTAGTAAATTGAACCAGTGTCTAATGGCTGTCATTGGTGAGACCTAGAAACTCAAGTAAAGTGAGTGCTCAAGCTATGTTTAAACCTGAGTGGGTGATTCAACCTATTGGCACCTACATAAAGTAGAAATAGGCTGTGCATTGCTAGCCTACCATTTTTAAGTCTATGCTAGATTATAGGCACCCAAAATAATTGAGGCTCAAAAAATTGTTAATTACCTCCCTGGGCACCAATTTCAATATTTTTAATACCATCCTTTGGAAATGGATGGCAACACAGAATAGTGTAATTGGTGTTTTAGTGAATCAATTTGCAAAAAAGCAATCCATATAGCTTACGATAAAATCCCTTTTTCCTGCATCAAATTAGAGAACATCAGATGTGTGTAACACATGGACCCTAAGCACTTAATTTCATAAGCACTATGTGTAACCAAATGGCCACATCTGAAGAGCTGGATGGTCAAGGAACATAATGGAAAGACCACCAAACTTTAAATAGAAGTCAATGAAAATAATAAGTGCTAAAGGAACCTTAAATAAAAATTGTAAAAAATGTTGTGAAATATATTTTAGATGAAGCTAATGATAGCCGTTCATTGCCTGCGGAAAAACCACAAATAGTTAAAATTAGTTTTCTTTAAAATAATTTAACAAAATGATTTGGTTTTAAGGACCTATAAGGCAGGAGAATGCTCAAAAAAGAAAGGGCTACTGCCAAATTGTTTGATTTGCTTTTATATAGCATATTTTATATAGCATCATTTTATAATCAATAATGAGTAGAGCAAGAGCTCATATTGTTACAGAAGAACACTGTTTGTCTCCATATTCCCTACAAAAATGTCACCATGGCCAAAGATGCAGCACAAGTTCTGGATACACATCTGCTTTCAAGTCACTTGTGTATGTAGTCTAAATTAGTACTGTGAGCAAGCTTTTTTTTATAAGACCAAGTAAAATAAAAAAGAAAAAGATTATTTGAATCTGATTTAGTTTTTAAAAACTACACAGGTTCACAGTGAAATTGTGGAAATTACTAATTTGGTAAATGTCAAGATGTATGTATATTCTATCAACGTCTGAAATATGTTTAGTGGCCTTTTTAAAGCTGTGTATTTGAAAAATGAGATGGCTTATCTGAGGCATTATTGTCACGTATTTCTTGTAGATCTCTTGCTTATATATTCCCTCTCTCTGTGGTCAACTTTTAATAAGACTTCCACATCTGCAATTCCAAATACAAATCAATTGAATGGATTTGGAATAGTAACAAAAATAGTTAAAAGAAAAAAATCAAAGTTTATTCAAGAACTATTTTTTTTTAAAATCGCTGCTTGTCAATTATAATTTGTTAATTTCTCCCATGCAGGACCATGTGTAGATATTATTTCCCTTTGAATATTTGTGTTATCATATTTTTGAGATGTTAGGGACTTTTCTGAATATCTGAAAATAACTATCACACTAATATTTTATTAAAATGCATATTTAATTGTAAGAAACAATCATGATTGTATATGTCAAGAATATTGCTTTCAGAACATGTTCACTATCTATTTTTTTCAGGTTAAATGGAAATAAGCAAAATATGATTTGTGGGAAAAATGTTTTGTGAAACGTAGACTTTTTTTCCATTACTTTTCTTTAAATTTGATGATCAGATTGTACCATACAAACATCAAGTATTTCTAATATATACTATTTTTGTTACTTTTGTATAAAATATGTCATGTGCAAACGGACAATAATTAATGTTTGTATGTTGGGCTTAAAGTTGTCTAAAAATTATCTCTCCAGTTGTTTTTATTGTATCTTGCAAAGACACTGCAAGCTGCTTTGAACGCACCACATTAACAGTCATTTTGTATTAATTAATTGTACTGTATTTTAATAGAATAAATAGCAACTGCATTTTCAATTCATGAAATAAATTATGTTTGACACATAAGAACACTCTTACATTTAAAGCATTCTATTTAAGATTAAGTAAAAATAAAAACTGAAATAGTAATACATTGTCACTGCCTTCCTCAAACTATTTATGTACAGGATGATAAACTGACAATCTGGAACATAGTATTCTTGTTTTTCTTTTGGAGATGGTGCTATAAAAACATACAAAATTATTAATTATCCAGGATACAATAAAAATTACATAGAGATTTAAGATTCAAAGTATATTAAAGTAAGATGATATCCATAGGCCTATTGATTGCATTGCCATTATCAAACATTTTGAATTGAAGGCAAATGGCTTTAAGATTGGTGAATGTCATTTTTTATTCATTAAATGATTGTGTACCATTCTCTCTGTCCATGTTTTTGTTGACATAACCAAACTTTTGCACATTAGATTATGTTGAGGGTTTTACAGATAAATCCTATGAATTAACATGCTGCACTATTAAACAATGCCCATCATGAAACGCAAACAACTATAAATCTTTGCTGGAACGTCATACATAGAGTTGGACATGAGGATGCACATTGTTGCAACAACCGTTATTGCTGTGGGGTGGCCATTTTAAATTTGTAATGTGCTAGCTGGACATACACTATCACCGACTGTTATTTTTTAGTCTATTGTTAATGTGAAAATCTGCTGAACAATACATGATCAGGGTGGATTTGTTCTGTAATTAAGAATGTGAATGCTAAATATGCTGAGGCTTAAAAGAAATCTCATTATTAATCTATTAAGAAATGTAATTTCCGTTTTTTAAAACATGATCTCTGAATTATAGCTGCTTAGGATAGAAACTGGTTATATTAATTACAGCCATTTCTCAAGAATTGTATTTTTATCTAAATTTTAAAATGTCTTTCTAGGATTAAATTGGATTTTTGTGTGGCTGAAAACAGATCCAGATGTTCATATGAAATGGCTTAAAATGTAAAAATGCAAATTTCATTGCTCAGGACTTTTACCACAGTAGCATCACTGAAAGTTGGCAACATGTTTCTAGTAAATTTTTTGTTAAAAAAATAAAGATGGGGGAAGAGTTATAATAATGAAGAGAATAAATATCTTTAATTGGGAAACAAACTGGAATGAGCATTAGTGAGTGTTTATACTTAAAAAGAACGCTAAATTATAAAAGTAGTTTATTATTATATTTAATGCCTTTTAGTTAGCAGTCAAAGAGTTGCCAAACAATTTGTGTAGAAATCAATGTAAACTTAATAGTTTGCAGACCTAAAGTACCTATTTTATCTAATGATATATGTCCTCCACACAGTAGAGAACATTACAGATCAAAGATGGCTACTTCCATTGGTTACATCATCGATGTATTAGTAAAATGATGTACATAAATATTTCTTTTTTAGGCTATGTATTCACCCT